CACACTAATCAAGAGAAGATAATTTAACTTTCCTTACTTTTATTTCGAAAAAGAAAAGAAAGGAAGCATACATAGTTAGATTGATGTTGAATCCTGAAAGGTTTTATTCATATATCAGCTGTTTATAAAAGAGAAAATTGTGAAAAACAATAATTCTCCTTTGCTTAAGAAAGAAAAGCAGAAGGAATTTGATAATATCACTTCTATTATAGACGAATGCACCATCTTGTAAGATGGATGGTAATTTTTACAACATTAGTTCGGTTACCTTACCCATTCTAACATACTTTATGGCACATCAACTTGTAGAAATTGAAAGAAGAAAAATAATTATATAAGAGAAATGCGGAGAGAACTGCAAGAAAAAAAAACTATCTGTGACGAGTTTTAGATAGAAGAAGAATTAGCGCTGATGACATTACGCTTTATTGTATTTCTTCCTATCGAGAATCGCATCGCTTCCATACAAAACAGACACTTCTACACTTTTCCATGGAAGAGAAGAAAAGAATAACAAGACAGAACCAAATAGCAATATGATAGGGACAAAATACAACATAATGTATGAAGAAAGGACAAAATAAGAAAGGATCAAACATCATGTATACAGAACGTACTTAACCGAGAGCGTTACACTACCATTCATACACAGTTGTAAGTTGAATAAGTTTAGGAAGAAAGCAGCTGAAAGAGTCGAAATTTTTAACATCAAAAAGATTTATTAAATGATGTAAGTATTAATTGATAGATGAATATTGGAAATGTTCAATGAGTGATCAAAGTTTTGTTGGACACTAGCGTTCAAAACATCAGTATTGGATTTTTATTTGCAATATATCTCTATTATCATTTTTGAGAGTATTGTGCGACTTTCCACAACTCTTAAAATTTCTCACCTTTCATTCTCGATATAGGCATCTACCTATAATATTTCAATGACTATTTGACAACCTCAAATGTATCCAAACATAGATGCTCGAACATGCTGAGTATTGCAGAAATGTTTATTTTCTTCCAACGTTCTTTTCTCAATATTTATGTAAACTATTTCAAAAACTAGTTTTCCACTCCTAGTAAGTACATATCAAAGTTTTCTAAGAAGTTTATTTTAAATCTAATTAAGCTTAAACTTTCATGATCTGTTCATATCTCTATGTCTGACACAACAAAAATGTCAAACAGACTGAGAAAAAAAAACTTTGGAAGAAGATAAACATTATTGCGACAGTCAGCACGTTCGAATGCATATGATTGGATACATTTGAAGTTGCCAAATGGTCATTAAAGTGGTATAGATAGATGCTTATATATTGTCTCTAGTATAGAGCATGACAGATGAGAAATTTTAAAAGTTGTGGAAAATCACACAGTAGTCTCAAAGATAGGGATGCCAGCTTAGCATTAGCGTCATGCTAACATTTATCATTCCCAAAAACAGAAAAAATATTCCGTTATGGAAATTTTCTTTGTCATAAAAGAATACCATTGTTCTGTTTTGAGATTTGTTGTCGAAAAAATAGAACAATTATGTTTTATTATGGAAAAAGTATTGTTACAACTGAACATAATTGTTCTGTTTTTGAGAATCATAAGTGTTAGCAAGATGTTAACGCTAATACTAAGCTAGTAACCATAGCTACAACTGACATATTTTATTTTGTTTTTTTAAATAGAAACTTTTAATTGAAAAACATGGTATTAAAGACATTTTTGATCAGTCAAGATAAAAATCGAAAATATCGTCTCAATGGTGTCAGGCCATCTACTCGTCTACCGATCAAAGAACCATTGTGTCAGATATTTCGTGATCATCTTATCTACAGTTCTGACCAATTACCACCTAAAACTGACCTTCGAGAACATATGACACCAGTCGAAGATCAATCAAAAATTGGTAGTTGGTAAGAAAGAAAGAAAGAAAGGTTACAAGGTTGTAAATCGATTTATCGAACTTTTTCATTATGGAACTCTTATTATATTATATTAAATGAAAGATCTCATTGAAATAAACATTCATTCTGATGAAACTTATTAGTTATCCATAGATAAATAAAAACATTGAACAAGATCAATATTCAATGTCTTTGAGTCTAAATGGCTCCCTTGATCAATCTGATATTTGACTTTATAACAGAAATATGGTCCTAAAAAAACATTTTCAGACTATTAGACACATTCAATGTGAATCTTCATAGCAGACATACCAACAATGCCAGGATCTACTACGAGATTAATGTGAAACACGAGTGAGTTTAAGATATTTGTGTTTTGTCATTCTTTTACGCTAGTTGTGATATACTGTGGTTAAGACCTTGCATTATTCACATAAAGTGACAGTAGGTTGCAATATTAGCAGCGCCATTGTGTTTCATATATTAATTCCATAAGAAGTGCAGTAACTACTTTTTAAAAAAAGTTAGTTCTTCGCGTGGAGATCAAATTTCATAAACAAGCTTTGAAATGTCGATGGAGGAAGAAATCTCACTCAGACATTTAAAAAATCTAACGTCAGATTTATTTTCAACATGAAAAACTGAGTTGATCTTTGTATGTTTCAAAATTGTACGACAATTTTTATTTTCGTCGAAAAATGAATTCATCCAAAATTTCGATGTATTATTTGATTATAGAGTCAAAAGGACTAAAGTAAAGTAATCTACTGATTGAAGTAAAAACTATCTCTCTTTTTCTCGTTCTCTCTATATAAATAGGAGCACTATATCACTTTGATCAAGGAAGTTATTTAGGCTCAAAGATATCAAATATTGACCTTATTCGAAATTTTGATTTATCTATGGAAAACTAACAAGTTTCATCAGAATGAGTGCTTATTTCAATGGAATCTTTCATTTAACATAACATAACAAGTAACGTTCGTCCAAGGACTCGCTCAGCTCTTTCTCGTAGAAATAGTGTTTTAGAACTATCAGCAAGCTATTTATTTTCATTAATTAATAATTAATAAATAAAACTAACCTCAGATACGCACTCCCCACTCCTGATTACCTTTGGTCAACTTTTATAGAAAAATATTAATAATCAAACAGTTAATAATTAATTAGTAACTAATTGGTTAAAACTAATTTCAGATTCAAATTTCCCATTCCTGATTACCTTGTGGCCAAGTTTTATAGGAAACATGAATAATTAATGATTAATTAATAATTAATAAATAAATGATTAATAATTAGTTAAAACTTACCCCATATTTGAATCCCCACATCTGATTATCCTTTGGTCAAGTTTTATAGAAAATAATCCCTTCTATCTTCACCTGATTCTTGGACCAATCAGTAAAGTGCGGACACACAAGCAAGCAAGTAGACAATTTATGTTTACTAGAATCTTCTCTACGAAAAAAAGAATAAGAGTTTCAATGAAAAAAGTTCGATAGATCTATTTTCTACCTTACAACCTATTTCTTACGTAAACTATTCTATTTAAAATTGAAATCTCACTCTTATCTCATCCAGCACAGCGAATTGTTTAGCTGGTGAGAAACTCTTTCTTTCTCTCTTTATCTTTGATTCAATCTTACTTTGTTATTCATTCTAAGGAGCATATGAATATTTGACAAAGAAAGAAAATGGTCTTAATATTCATGTTAGTCGTTTATTTATTTATTACAATGGTCGTACCAAAGAGAATCACAATGAGTATGATATAACAGATTCAGGATGTACAATGACATATGTTATCGAAGCAGTTGAAGAATTTGGTACTTGTCTTGAATCAATCTGGCCATATGACATTTCAAAAGTTAATATGCGTCCAAATGATGAAGCCTACCAAAAGGCGAAACCTCATAAGATCACTGAAGCATTTCAAATTAATATTGATTTGCATGAAATGAGATCTTGTTTAGCATATGGTTTTCCATTTGCATTTGGTTTGAAACTTTTTTCATCATTTGATCAAGCAGCTCGTTCTGGTATCGTACCAATGCCAAGTAAATTCGATCTTAATCGACAATCAGATGGCAAGTATGTTTTCTCTAATTAAAGGTTACAAATATATTTTTATTCCTTGTATCTTTCAGTCATGCTCTTTTAGCTGTCGGTTATAGTGATCAATCACAATCATTTATTGTTCGAAATTCATGGGGAGAAGATTGGGTAAGATGTATATATCTTTTGTCGTCTTTGTTTATTTCTATTATCATAATATACTCTTCTTTTCAGGGAGATAAAGGCTATTGCTATATTCCATATGGTTATATGACAAGTTCTGATCTTTGTTTTGATGTTTGGACCGTTCGAAAAGTGGCTAAGACTCATTTTGGTAAGGAGCATTGGGATCATGATGACTCAATTGATTACAGACAAATGGACGATGATGATAATAGTAATGATAATAATGATAACAATCCTGCAATCGAAGATTTAGAAGATGATGATCAATAAAATAAATCCTTGGATAAATAACTTTCATCATTTACAGTTGTTTGCAAAAAAAATTTATACTACTTCTTCTAAAGATATCATTTTCTACTTAGGGTTATCCAAAGGTAGTGGCGGAAGTTCTTTTTTTTCTTATGGAAAGCTTGAAAAAATGTTGTATTTTTATGAATAGATAGAGCGTCTTTCGCTCTATCTTTCTATGCTATTTGATCACTATTAAACTAATATCATAATAATAAAATTTCGATAAGAACTGTTTTTGTTAAAAACCAGCTGGTAACATTTAGATCATAATGAGTGTGGCATAAAAAATGGAATACTTTTGCATTTCATTCTATTATCACTCAATATGTTGTATTAAAAAAAACACAATATACTAGAAGATGCAGCGTGAAAAGCTCTACAATTTATAAAGCACCGCTTATTTTATAGTTGTACTTTTTTGTTTTAAAAATGGACAAAATTCTGAATTACCAAGTTTCGATGAGATGAAAACGAGGCTGTTTTGGTAAAAAGAACGAATTCGGTTTTTTTCTGTCTTATTTTTGTATCATTGTTGTTTGTAAATTATAGAGCTCTTCACGCTGCATCTTTCAGTGTATTTTGCTTTTTAGAATAAAACATATCAAGTAATAAAAAAATGAGATAGAAAAAACGGAATTCATCTTTTACCAAAAAAACTATCTTGTTTTCGCAACGTTGAAATTTGACAGCTCAGAGTTTTGTCCATTTTTAGAACAAAAAGTATAACTATAAAATAAGCGGTACTTTATAAATTGTAGAGCTTTTCATGCTGGATCTTCTGGTATATTTTGTTTTTTCAATACAACATATTATGTGATAATAAAGTGGAATGCAAAAATAGAGTGTGGGTGTGTGGGTGTGGGCGTTGGTAATTAGAAGATACACACCCACACCCACTTAAACATATTGAATGTGTGGATGTAGATGCGAGTGCAGTTGAAGAGAAGATCTACATTTACACCCAAATAGTGACAAAAAGATTTTATCAGTATCTATGGAAATTATATAAAATGTCGTGAAGACATGTTTAGAAAATGTGTTAGTGTACTTATGATAAGAACGCAACAGAAAACAAATACTATCAGTTTGAGTATAGATACTCGAAGGAGAAAAATTTTATTTTGGTTACAAAATGGTGGAGAAAATAAGTGTGCCGCTGACAACAAAAATAGCAACGTATGACGAATTGATGGAACTGACCAAGAAAGACACGAATTTCTTTTTCAAGAATTGTCGATTGGACGATCGTGTGTATCGTATCTTCACTTATAAACCAATGGGCTGGGTTTCCTTCACTGAACCGACCTCGATCGATTGTCGTGGAATCATGTTCGATGTAACTAGTGGAGATTCATCACCCATTCTCGTTTGTTTACCACCACAAAAATTTTTCGAGTACGAGCATGACAGTCGTGATCACACGTTGGGTCGCATTGGAGATAAAATGCTTAAATTAGATGGATCATTGATTTCAACGTTTCTACATAAAGGTCAAATTCGACTCAAATCGAAGGCAAGTCTTGACTCACCGCAAGTGCATTTAGCAGAATCTTGTCTCTGTCACAATTTCCAGCTCCGTAGTGAGATTCAATCACTTGCTGAACAAGGATATACGATCAATTTCGAATTGACATCCCCTCGAAATCGCATTGTAATACATTACAAAGTCGATCAACTTACTCTTATATCCATCCGATCCCATATTACGGGTGAAAACCTATTTGGAACACGACTT